CCGCCCACACTACCCTCCACAAACGGGGCCCCACCGGGGGCCCCACCGGGGGCCCCAACAGCGGGGGCCCCACCAGGGGCCCCAGCAGGGGCTCCAGGAGGGGCTCCAGGAGGGGCCCCAGGAGGGGCCCCAGGGGCCCCGGGGGCCCCTGGGGAAGGGGAGGATGCGGGGGAGGTGGGGGATGTGGGGGGCCCCGGGGTGGTGGGGGGGGCCCCCACTGGGGGGGGGCCCCCTTTTATAGAAAGAGGAGAATGGGTTTGGGTAGTATCAGCAGCAGCAGAAGGAGAGAAGGAATCAGGTAGGGGCCCCTCAACAAGAGAAGAGAGAGGGGGAGACATAGCAGCTAAGCTATCGGGGACAGGCCTTGATTCCCCTTCTGCTGCTGTTGCTGCTGCTGCTGCTGCTGCTGCTGCTGCTGCTGCTGTATCTCCTCCTACGTCGCCAGATAAAGGGCCCCCAAGGAGGCCCTTGGCGGGGGCCCCTGTTTCTATCCATGAGGAGGAGGGGCCCCCGCTTGATGGGGGCCCCCCTGCTCCAGCTCCTGCGGTTGTTGCTGCTGCTGTTGCTGCTGCTGCTGCAGGTGTCTCCGCACCCACAGCAGCAGCAGCAGCAGCAGGAGCAGCAGCAGCAGCAGCAGCAGCAGCAGCAGGGGGCCTCGAGACTGTGAGCCGCTCCAGACAGACAGCACAGAAGTGAAGAGAGTCGTAGCAGGGCAGCAGCTGCAGCGGGCTAACAAACACTTCGTTTGGGGGGCCCCCCAGGGTACTGGGGGCCCCCCCTCCTTTCTCCTCTTCCTCAGCAGCAGCAGCAGCAGCTGCTGCTGCTGCTGATGTCCGTCCCGCCCCACCGCCACCAGAAGCACCAGCACCAGCACCAGCAGCAGCAGCAGCAGCAGCAGTTTGTGAGGGCCCCCGTGAGCAATGGGGGCCCCCCCTAGGGGCCCCCTTAGCATATCCAATAGGTCGAGGGAGAGAGGGTACTAGATGGGGGCCCCCCCTTTGTGTATTTTGTATAGTATATGTATTCATTCTGGGGTCAGCAAGAGGACAGGGGGCCCCCATAGTATCTCTGCATCGAATAGGGTATTTATTGGGGGCCCCCCCCTTGCATGCATGTATATGTATAGAGACATAAGCAGCAAGATGTAGGTCAAAGAAGGTACCTAGGGGGCCCCCCATGAATACCCCGCTTATAGCCTTGAGGGCCCCCAGGGCCT